GATCTTTGAAATGGTTTCGGGACTCAAAATCAACTACAACAAAAGCAAGTTGTATGGAATGAATATAGAAGAGGAAGTCTCTCAACATTGGGCCATATTCTTGAATTGCAAAACGGGTAAACTACCCATGACCTACCTGGGCATGCCAATTGGAGCAAGTTTGAGAAGCAAGGACACATGGGCAGAACTGATAAGCAAAATAGGAAGGAAGTTAGCTGGCTGGAAAAATAGGTTCTTATCCCTGGGGGGGCGTATTGTCATTATAAACTCCGTGTTGACTAGTCTTCCTGTCTTCCTTATGTCTACTTATCTCTTACCTGCTGGAGTGATACAAAAGATTGATGCAATTAGAAGGAAATTTTTATGGGGTGGGTGTGAGGAGAGAAACAAGATTGCATGGGTAAGGTGGGTTAAAGTTTGTAAGGATAGGAAACAAGGGGGGATGGGTATTAAAGACCTTAGGATGTTTAATTTAGCGTTGATGGGGAAATGGTGGGCGAGATTAGTTAAAGAGCAAGGAGGCTTATGGAGAAGAGTGCTCTTAGATAAATATGGAGGGGAAGGAGGAAGCTGGGGAGAATGGATAACAGAGGGGCAGAACAGGGGATCTAGATGGTGGAAAGATGTTTGCAAAATTAATGAGTTGATTGAGGGGAAACGGGATTGGGTGAAGTCGGGCTTTAAGTTGGTTATAGGAGATGGTGCTAAGGTCTCCTTTTGGAGACAAGTGTGGGTGGGATCTCATACCTTAGAAGTAATGTTCCCTCGATTATCTTATCTTTCCACAGATAGACAAAGCACGGTGCAGCAAATGGGAGAATGGATAGGTGGTTCATGGAGATGGAGATTAAAATGGAGGAGAAGATTATCAACAAGGGAACAGGACCAAGAAACACAACTCCGGAGCACCATACAAAATGTGCAAATTCGAAAGGACGCTGATGATAGATGGTGGTGGAGATATGAAAAAGACGGTGAATACACAGTAAAATCAGCATACAAGTTGCTAACAACAACAGAAAAAGGGGATGAAATCAAATGTCTTAAAAGATGCTGGAACTCAACAATCCCATTGAAAATCTGTGCTTTTAGTTGGCTGTCAGTGCTTGGACGTACACCTTGCAAGGTAAACCTCCTGAAGAGAAATATCATTAGACAAGAAGCAGATGCTATGTGCAGTTTTTGTGCAGAAATAGCAGAAAATGAGGACCACCTACTACTGTGGTGTGATTTTTCAGGAAAAATCTGGAACAAAAATCTCGCATGGTGGGAAATCAAGTATGTCATGGCCAGGAGTTATAAGGATGCTTTTCTCCAACATAGCTGGGCGGGTAGAAACCAAAAAGGGTGGCAGGTGATATGGTATGCTACAATCTGGGCCTTATGGTCAACTCGGAACCGTAGAATTTTTGAGGCAAAGCAAGTGTCCACTGACGAAGTGTTCCACATGGTACAATAAAACTCATACTGCTGGACAAAGAGCAAAATTGAAGGCTGGACATACTCTTTTGCGGACTAGTGCAATGCTCCAAGTAGATGTCGAATAGTAAAAGTTCCAAAACTAAGATTGATAGAGCTTGAGCAAGGTGAGCTGATATGATGTCTGCAGTAATACCATATGAAGGTGTTTCTTTAACAGTAGGGGTTTCCCGTGCCAGTGGGTTTGATGATCAAAACAGTGAGATGTGGAGAAATTGCAAAAGAGGACAGAAAACCCGACACGGGTGTGGTGTCGACACATAAATTTGGTGTCGACACCATACGGTGAGCACCAAGAACTCCGACACGGATGTGGTGTTGACACACAATTTTGGTGTCGATACCGTACGGATGTAAACTTATGCTTTTCCAGTTGGGATATTAATGGGTTTGGGGTACCCCTTGTACTCCGTTTTTTAATTAATATTACTTTTGGCTGTTCAAAAAAAAAAAATTTGTCTACCTTTAATTTCAAACAAAAAAATAATGATTTTTTAATAAATGTATTGTGCAATGTAATGTGTTGAATTAGAATGTAACCCATATCTCTATTCAATTGTATAATATTAAAAAGTTTTAGATAATTTGATAGCTCATTGCGATAGTTTTAAATTTGGATTAATAACATTATTTGAACTGAAATTTTATTTAGTCATTTCAGTTTTATCT